AAAAATTTTTTTTTTTTTTTTTTTTTTTTTTTTTTTTTTTTTTTTTTTTTTTTGCAGTTGGCTTAAGCATTTCTGGACGACGTGAAATGACCATCAAAAGAGGTAAGGTATCTATTTATTTTAATTTTCTAGTATGAATTCATGATTTCAGAATTTTTTATCCGTCTAAAATTGTTAGAGATTCAATTCTGGTGATTCTTAAAATTACAGTATAAATATGAAGAAATGTGTTGTCCGAAAAATAATCGAACAATGCTGAGTATAAAACAACACATAATAAATCATGTTTAATTTATTATTAATTCATTATAAATAAATTTTAGTTTAAACACTTAATTTATGAGATACATCTATTTCCTACTATGTAAATAATTTATATCTTAATGAACCTTCATGTTTGCTAATTATGTATCGAAAGCCATAATTCCTAACATAATTGATTTCATGTTAATGATTTATCATAAAAATTGTAGGAGTTAGTCATCAGCGGCAAAATCAGAAATTTGGATAAAGATATTCAAGATTTATGAATATATATATTTGACTAATAATCATAATATAATTTTTTGTCGAAAGTTTTCAAGTGATCATCCTTCCCTTACTGTAGCTCCGCCCCTGATTGCGGCCTAGTTATAACTTGAGGTTTTAATCTCAATATAAGCTTTATAATTGTTTATTAATTACTATTCAAGAGACAATTGCACTGAAAAACATTTCAAAAGAAAATCATACTAATAGTATACATATTGAGAAATATATTTAATGATTTACCAGTATTAAAATCCATATTGGGATTGGAGAAAATCTTCCGTAAATTTACCGCTCTTCTAATACCTCTCCAATCACTATAAATTTCACCTATTCTTCACTTTCTCCGTCACTTCAATTCTTTAGTTTTTCAACTCTGAGTCTTCAATTCTTCAAAAGGTATTCCACAAGTTTTCTTTCTCTTTTTCATGTTCTTTATTTATTTTTTTATTTTCTTTCTTGTATGTAACGTTTTGCTTTTTTCTTGTATAAAATTGTCTATGATCTTTTTTTGGTTTCTTAAAAGTCTTCAAAAAAAAAAATCTTGCCTTTGTTTGAATGATATACATTGGTTGGATTTGCAGGTTTAATGATTTTAGTTGTTAATTTCGTTGTTGTTGCTTTGTTTTGCCAATTCTTGAATTTGTAACGCCCTCTTCTAAGATTTTTATGGTTTCAAAACTTTAATAAGTTTTTATGATACTTCCTTACCTTTGTATGTAACGAATCAAAAGGCCAAAAAAAAATTATGTTTTTTTTCCTCGGTTGTTGTTGTGTATTTTTTTATAATAGTACATTTGACTAATTTCACGTGTTAGACCTCCTACCTCTCACCAGCAAGACGGATACTGATAACTCTATCCACTACAAGATTAGATCGATGAAAAGAAATCACTTAGTAGTTTTGCCTCCGCTGAAATTTAAATTAAATTTGTTATTGTGTTTTTCCCTTGGAATTAGATAAAACCTTTGAAGGGATTTAGCTTTGGCTTAAAAAATTAGTCTTTTGAGTATATAAAGAATGTTTTTTTTTTCTTTTTATTTTGGGACGCTCCCCCTTGTGTGTGTGCCCAAGTTAGAATCTTTAGGCTTTGATTTCACAAATTTCTTAAGGTTATCTGTTAATTAAGTTAATTTTATATCAATCAATCTTCTTGGTCAATGTTTATACGTAAATAAAAAAGAGAACATGAGTGTTTAACTGGTTATTTAATTATATATAACATGTTTTTTAAAGACATAATTGGGATAGGCTTGAGGTTCATCTTAGATCTCAATACGTGGGACACACTTTGTAAATGTCATTGTTAAATTTTCTTTCAACTGTTTGACTATGATTTATATATATACGGGGTGTATTTATATGTATATGTATACTATATATANTCCCAATTCACACAAAAATTAGTTACTTTGACTTTAGTACTCCAAATCTCGCCACATAAAATGAGTGAAAGGTAGTTATATTTTTTAATGTTATTTTTCCTGCATAAAAGCCTCATTCCTGCACCTTTGCCTTGATCAAGATGAAGTTCTTTAAACTCTTCATTTGCATTCCAACGTTTAAATTTTTTGTTTATATAACTGTAAATAATTTCTATCTATCAGCCTTTGACTAGTAGCTTACTCATAAATTATACAGAAGACTATTTGTTATTATTCATCTTTGACCCTTTGTATTTACTTTGTTATAGTGCAAAAATGGCAACTCAAACATCGGAACACTCTGCTGATACTGTTGCTCGTGCTTTTGTTGATCAATACTACCGCATTCTACATATGTTTATCGACCAGTCCTATAGATTTTACAAGGATGAAAGTGTGTTAAGTTGGGCTCAGCCTGATGGTGAACTGAAATCCGCGACGACAACTGATGTAAGTATTATGACAAAAAGATTGTCAGTATTTGCAATGAAACTATGTTACTGTCTAAGGGATGCTAATTAATAGGCAGAGGCGGATCAAGGATTTAAGGTTAACAGGATTCTGATTTTTGTATCATTTCAGGGAATAGCTGAGTTTATCAAGTCATCTCACTTTAAGAATTCCAAGGTGGAAGTCGCGACGATTGACTCCCAAGTATCTGCTGCGGGAGGTTTTCTTGTGGTGGTTACAGCAACCTTGATCGGGCAAGACGAATCAAGAAAAAGTTTCTCTCAGACCTTTTTCCTCGCTCCACAGGAGAAAGGATACTTTGTGTTGAACGATATTTTTCGTTTTGTTGGCGTTGTAGAATCTTCAACGGTTGTCACAGATAAGGACGAGGAAACAGCTTCAGTTGCTGCTTTGGGTATGTCTTTTATGTTTGACACTATCTCAACTGGTCACTTGTTTGTTTTACATAGTCTCCACTTATTGTAACTTAAACTATATTGTTAACTATATGTTGAATTGCACTCTTTTGGAATTACTACAGAAGACAAAGTTGAAGAAAATGTGAAGGCTATTGAAAGCGAAGTTGGTGAAAATGTCAACGAGGTGTCTGAGAAATCAGAGGCTAAGGTTACAACTGATGACGAAGTTGACAACAAACCTTCAGTCACTTCGAATGAAACAGAACAACCCGTTGTTGAGACAACCTCGAATGCTCCTAAAGTTACCTATGCTTCAATGGTTAGTTACATTTTTAGGAGATTACAAAGTTTTGTTTCTTACATCTAAAGCGTTGCCTAATTCGAAATATTTTCCTGTAGATGAAGATGGGTAGGTCCGCGCCGCCAACCAATGCCCCACACAGGGTTGTAAGGGTTGCTGCAAATGCTGATCTCCATCCCGCGCCTAAGAAACCTCAAGCCAATGGCTTACTGAAGGCGATGGCTTCTAATTCGAATGGCATGCCTAAAGCACAAGAACACAACAACAATTCCGATGAAGAAATCGAGTGTAAATTTGCATTGGCTTAATCAAATAGTTGATGAATTTTATTTGAGCAACTTCTGAATTGTTTGTTTACTTGTTATAGGTAAATCGGTATATATTGGTGGCTTGCCAACCAACACAACAAGTAGCGAGCTCTACACGATCGTTAGACAATTTGGACCAGTTCACAGTCGTGACGTTCAAATCAAAACTTACGAGGAGGTATACATATATATTTCGTAATGTTGTAGGTTATCGTCGGTTTATATTTACTTAACAATTTTAAATTTAAAAAAAATGTGAATGTAGGACGGATATTGTTGTGGTTTCGTGCACTTTCAAGATGTTGTGTCTGCTCGTAATGCAGTTCAGGTAATAAATTCTACAATAACTCCTCCTTCAAAACTTTTATTTGATCATCTTTTGATTTTTGGTTTCTTTCTTTGACTATTCATTTTAGATGCATCATATAATTGTGAGGGGAAGAGAAGCTTATATAAGATTCAAGCGAAACAAAGGTACATATATGTGTGCTTGTTTCACTTTATTATGTCACAATCAGAATGTTAATTCTTTTTTAGTACTATGAATTGTGACAATTTCTTCTTCTAACTTTGTTTAAACTTTAAAATAATTAATTGATTGGTAAAATTCTGTCATGTGACCAGGAGGTCACGAATTCGAGCCATGAAAATAGCCTCTTGCAGAAATGCAGGGTAAGGCTGCATACAATAGACCCTTGTGGTGCGGCCCTTCCCCGAATCTCGCGCATAGGGGGAGCTTAGTGCACCGGGATTATGTTATAATGATCATGTTGTGTCTAATTTTTTCAGCGCGCGGTGATAGGGCAACGTCTCCATCGGGTAGGGGTGGATTTCGCGATGGAAATGGTTATGACTTGCGAAGTCGGCCTGAAAGTTCCGAGGGACGAAAGGGAGAAGGTTACCAGCAGAACTACAGAAGGAGGGATTAGTGAGGTGGTGCTAATTACAATGGTGGCACCAACTTATACTTAGTGTTGTAGCCTTGTTTGTAGGCTTACATGTTGTATCAAACTTTGTTTTGGTTTTCACTTCATTTTGAAGTTACATTATTTGGTTTTGGATTGAAAGTCTAGAAAACTATACTCTAGCAAATTATCTACCTGTGCAGGTGGATTTCATTAATATAGAAAACCTCATTTTGAAGTTCTTCTAATGGGCTTTGAATGTGAATTTTATTGATCTAGATTCTACCTATTTGAATGGGCCATTGAGTTTCTTTTATATTTTGAGTTTTTCCTTATAGTAGTTTATAATGTGGCTGGCTCTCCACAACAGATTTTTTACAGTGGACAGGTCATCGAGATGGCTCTACCTTCGTAAGGTAGATGGTAAGATCCGCGTACACTTTACCCTTTCCGACCTCATTTGTGGGATCCTATCGTTGCGTACGTTCGTGCCTATTTGAATGGGCCATTGGGTTTGTTAAGGTCCACTATCATTGTGGTGTTATATTTCCGTGGCCCAAAGTCATAGTTTTTTGGGGCTAAGTGTATAGATAGCAATTTTCAGGGATGCTAAAATTCAGAACGCACTGCCTAATTCCTTAATAGCATGGCTATCTGGTGTAGGGGTGCTTATCAGGCGGATCAGCGGATAATTACGTTTAACGGTTCGGCTTATCGGTTATCGGATTATAAATATAGTAATCTGGTAGCCATCCAATAAGACAACGGGCGAATTGGTATCGGATTAATAATTATCGGGCGGTTTATCGGATAAATCAAATAAAAAATTTTTGAACAATCCTACTATGTGATAAACACTTTGTAATTTGTACTGTCGAATGAGTCAAAAAAGAAGTGTTTCCACCTATAATTTAAGGCTATTATGCTACATAACAAAGCTCTCGATAACTAGAAAAGACTGGAACTTTATCTCTAAATTATTTTGAATTATTTAGGTACTTTAAAATATGACATGATTGCACCAGGCTTTCATGTTTACATAACATCGCATCGCATAATAACATCGCATAATACCAGGTTACATGATTTTAGTTTTTTTTTAATCTTTTTAAAATTCAATCTACTTGACAAAGGAGAAAATAGAATAAAAAGGAATTCCAATGATTTCGCTTAACACAGAGGTAAAAGTGTAAATATAAAATTTTAATGGGTTAACGGTTTATCCGATAAAAAAATTGAGTAATCCGCCCCAAACCGTTAAGCCGTTAATTATAAAATCTCAATCTATTAACCAACCATTACCGCGTTAAGCCAATAAGACATAGGTTTGGTTCGGTTCGATTTTGAACAGCTCTAATCTGGCGTCATTTCCACTAGTTTTTCAAGGTTTTATGGCCTTGAGAAGTGATCTTTGAGTTTTTCCTTATAGTTTATGATGTGGTTGGCTGTCTGCAACAGATGTTCTACTTATGAAGATGGCAAAGACAGTAGCAGAAGCTCCTCGAGTGGCGAGGATTCAAAAGGCGCATTGGTCAAGGGAGCGAAGAGATCAACTGGCTATCCAACAGAGCGAGAAGTTTAATATTTTGGCGTTTGTGTTTTCATCGTATATGGGTGAAAAGAAACAGTCACAGGTTCAAGCAAACAAGAAGACAAAAGGCTACAACTGCAGATTGTATATAGGGCAAAGACAGTGTAAATGGAAACTAATTCTATATGAGTTGAATAGTTATCCTTAGCTTGTTGATAAGAGTCTTAGGCCACTGTTTAGTTGAGCATAAGAAGATTTAGAGGTTATTTTTACTTGGTCCTGTCTCTACAGTCCATAGAGCAGGCGACTTTGTAAATGTTTACTTTTCGTTAATTTAATTTTATTTTGACCTAAAATAAAGTTTTTGCTTTTTTTTTGAATCATTATTTGGTTATATATTAGAATGAGGTTTTGAATTTTTTTTGAAGATGAGTTTTTCAAGTGATTTTTTTTTCACTTATAAAACTTTATTTTTTCTTTCTAAGTTAAATGCATATACTGACCATCAATTTTCAAATACCCTTTTTCAACAAAATTTTAAATATTACCTTTTTCAAAAACTCATGTTAAAACACCTCTCTCGCACGACGTACATAAGAAGTGCAGAAAACCCAACTACACAGTAGAAATTACTAGAAAACTATAATTCAAACTCTCACCAAGAAATAGACGGATTCACAATTTAATTTCTATGAATTCAACCTATAAATATTTTTATATTGTCCTCGTTATAATTTTGAAGTTATGAATTCAAAAGTTGAAGTTTTAGTAATTTTTCATATCAATATTTATATTATGTATTGAAAATATTAGGTTCAGATTCAATCGGTATTTGGTCAAAAATTTTGTACATTTGTTATGGTTCTTGAGAAACATACTAACTATATACCATAGTCCCATTTTGATCGATAAATGATCGGCAAGGTCCAAATATACCCATATACTTTCGAAAATGGTCTAAGAATACTCTTCGTTATATTATTGGGTTATCTATACCCCTACAATCATACTTTGGGTTCAAATATACCCCTCATTTAAACGGAGGGACACGTGTCATCGTCATGTTGGCCAATTCTAAATATCTCCTAATTAATTAAAAAGACACATTACCTATACCTGAAAATCAATTTTCTAAAGCAATTTTTTTTTGTAAAAACTGGAAAAATTGAATTATTTTTTTTACTAAAAACTGAAAAAACGAAAATATTTTTTTCCAGTTTTTTTTTAAAAAAACTGCTTTAAAAAAACTGAAAAATATTTTCTAAAACAATATTTTTGTAAAAACTGAAAAAACAAAACTGAAAAGCAATTTTCTAAAGCAATATTTTTTTTAGAAAAATATTGCTTTAAAAAAACTGGAAAATAATTTCTAAAGCAATTGTTTTTGTAAAAACTAAAAACAAAAACTGAAAAGCAATTTTCTAAAGTAATGTTTTTGTAAAAACTGAAAAATACAAATATTTTCATCTTTTTTTTCAGTTTTTAGTTAAAAGAAATTCATTTTTTCTAGTTTTAAATTACTTTAGAAAATTATTTTTCAGTTTTTTTCCAGTTTTTATAAAAATATTGTTTTAAAAAATATTTTCCATTTTTTTTAAAGCAGTTTTTTTGTAAAAATTGAAAAAAAAAATATTTTCGGTTTTTTCAGTTTTTAGTAAAAAAAAAAATCAGTTTTTTTAGTTTTTACAAAAAAAAAGTTCAGTTTTTTTTAGTTTTTACAAAAAAAAAAAAATTTGCTCTAGAAAATTGATTTTAGGGTATGGGTAATGAGTCTTTTTAATTAATTAGGAGATATTTAGAATTGGCCAACAGGACGATAACACGTGTTCCTCCGTTTAAATGATTGGTATATTTGAATCCAAAGTATGACTGCAGGGATATAAATAACTCAATAGTATAACGAGTTGTATTCTTAGATCATTTCAAAAAATACAAAGGTATATTTGGACTTTTGTCGATAAATGATTGATCAGTAGGAAAAGGCTTTGCCAAGAAATTCTCTCATGATACGTTAGCACATGGGGTGGGGCCATCCTTTTTAAGAAAAAAATGTACTACTTACTAATTATCCTTCTGTATTAATATGCCTTTTCTTTTTTATTTATTTTTATAATTATTCGGTATTTAAAATCTGTAAATTTGACTATTCCAAATTCAAGTCTTATAAGACTCATTTGAGTGGAAAATGCTTCATACCAATAGTTTCAATATTCATATAACTCAGAGTCGAGACTTTTGATTAAGGGTAATGGAGTTTCGATCCATCTCACTACACTCGTCGACGGTATTGTATTTTTTTTATTTTTTTTGTGATGCTAAAGTAGGTAACTTTATGGACCAAATAGATATAAGACACATGTTGATTTAATTGAGCCAAAAATGATTAAATATCAAGAAAAGGACAAGTTCTTGTGTTTGGTCTACTTCAATACTTGTTTGCCACCACACTTCCTTCTTGCCTCCTCAAAAAAGGAAGGATAATTTATATTGTTTCGTTTTATATAAATCTATTTCTTTTTGTTCGTTCCAAAAAGAATAATTTATTTTTAAATTTGGTAACAATTTAATTTAAATTTATAATTCTACCCTTAATGAAAAGCTTTTATAACCACACAAATACTCTAGGTCCCTTTTTGATTTGTTTAGGACCACAAATTCCAAAAGTCTTTATTTTTTCTTAAACTCCGTGTTCAGTCAAACAGGTTCATATAAATTAAAACGGATGGAGTATTTATTTATGTGTGTTGCATGTGTAAAAATATTTATACTATTAGATACTTGGCTAAATATATACGCGACCCTCCAAACATGTCTGATACTTTTATTTTGCAATTTGAACTAAAACTAGTACCTATTGAATACCTATACCACTCAATATATGTTAGACACCCTTTTCTGACATAGCATATAGTGTAGACTTCACTAAAAATAGGGAGCACGATAAATTTCCAAAATCATAATTTTCCATTTTAAAACTTCAATCATTTTTGGGAAAAAAATGATATTTTCCGAGAAAAGACCACATCACCACTCTACCCGGTGGGGGGGGAGGGGGGGTTCTAAAAACAGCACGCCACGGGGGATGAAGAGAAGATGTTGCTGACGATAAAGGATAAAGATGATCGCAAAATTATCTAACTCTCGAATATCATCGTTATATAAATTAATTAAAGTATTGCCACTTGCATGTCTAGATATAGTATAGGGCATGTTACATATCTGGTCGGCCAGTTAAAAATAAATATTTTTACAAACTAAATATATAAAAAGTATTTAAAAATATATATATATATTAGATGTATATTGGAGATTAATATAAAAAATATATATTTTACCAATTATTATTTTGAGAGCAATTATACAATATAGTTTTTCCTATGGTATAAGACTAAAGCGTACAAATTACAATTACACTCACTACTCCTTACTTAAACTATACATATATACTTATAAAACTAAACAATTTCTTAAGTATAAAATAAGGAGATGACACCTAAGGAGGACAGGTCACGATCGGGAGAAATGGTGAGCCAACAGCAAATTAAATTGGCTTAAATTAAATTACACGTGGCTCCAAGTTTGTGTCGGAGAATCTTTTAGGTACAAAGCAAGCTTTTTGTCCAAATCACTG